ATGGTCTGTTCTTGTTTTATAACGAAATTTTGCTGTTACCGGTGATGTATAAGTACAGATGGTATGGGTGCCATTCCATTTTTCTTTTTTCCTAATGATTAAATCACATTTGGCATTTGTCATTTCTTTTAATTTCAGATCGATTTGGGTGTCCACATTGATGGTTATATTGCCACTGCAGCACACACTGTCGTTGTAGGAGCCAATCCGGTATTTGTTTTCGTTATCACCATTTTCTTAATATTTTCTGTCCATTTAGTTGCTTCTACATTGCGGTTCATTGTTTGCAGACTAAAAAAGTCACGGGTAGACACGCTGATTTATTGAAAGCCACATATGAAGCAATGGAGGTGGCAATACGAATGCTTCAACCCGGTAACAAAACAATGGACATCACTGCCGCTATTGATAAGGTGAAAATGCTTTAATTTGGAATCTGTTTGAATTTTTAGGGTCTCATTGTAAAAGTTACTGCATTGTCATTTTGGGAATCAGTTTTCGTTTTAATCTTATTTCTCTCATTGCTTTGAGCCATGAAAGCGTCGTAGGCGATGTCAGTTTTCTAGACTCATCCAATGCTTTGAATTTAGGTCAGTAGAGCGAGTGGCGAAATACTGTAAGCAGATACCACATCTAGTTGTAGTAGGGTCAAAAATTCCCTAAGAAGTTCAGATGACTTTTTATGTAGAAACTTGCACCTAATTGGTTAAATTAAAAAATTCTACTCACTGGGCTCACATGCTTGCCACCCAGCATAAACTCACTGCGGCGACATAGAAAGGTTGTTTGTGTGATTCATTTTGATGTTTTGCTGTTGGAGTGAGTTGTAAAGCAGTTCCCCGTTTTTATGATTGACGGAAGATCTATCATATTGCGCAATATTCTCCATAGTTGTACGACATCCCTGCCCATTGGCAACATTGACAGGAACCAGCATCACGTGGTGAATAAATTGAACAGGCAACCCGTGCGCACTTTTCCTCCTCTCCTTTTTGGTGTCCTTCTTCGCCATTTCGAAAATCGTTCCTGATGCTTCCCTTCCACTTCCCAATTTTTCTCCTGATTGAGCGACTCTGTAGAAACCTCAAAACGTCCTGATTCTATTAGTGTATTAGTCTAAAACATTGGGGTAACCGGATGTCGCCTCCCCTTCTCATATCAATGATTTCCAATTAAAAAAAAAAAACAACGGAGAATCGCTTCGTTGGCGGTTCTAGAGCTGTCTGCACTACGCAATTCTACTGTCGCTGCTGTACCTGTTCCAAAACTCACCCAAATATTGTATTAAGGCCTGGTAAAAACTGTTTTCGGCAGTTATTTTTCTATTCCTATCAAAATGAGGGGTGTGCAGTGCTCGTTGCCTTGAACCTCACCAGACTCCTTACTGCAGACGGAAGTAAGTAAACTCTCGCAAGGATACCATTTAATTCATAAGAACTTTCAAATACAGTTACTCATCCCACGCTAGCAGTAGAATTCCGTGTTGTGTTGTGCTTTTGCACCATAAATTGGGTTTTTGTTATTCTAAGGGCGGCTTGCGTCTATTTATAAGATAATGCGTCTGAGATACTCTTTTCTGCTAAAATTTGCCGTAGAACTGTTCAAGAGAACAGCTTGGTTTGTGAAAGTTCCCTGCCTTTGAAGGCACGCTCCGCGATTAGGCGCACTCGACTGTTCCATGCCTGGGGTAGTAGGCAAGTGACAAGTGTTGATGTCGCGCCTTTTGCCGCTTGAAAGTGCGCGACAAATTCGCAAGCAGCTCGTCCGGCCCGCAACGCACACCTTCGTCCGCAAGCCCCACCCTTCGCTGTCCGGTTGCCACGTGGCGCTGCTTGAAAAGCGCGGGCGCATTTGAGGCAGCGGTTCCATCGCGATCCAACGTTATTGGCACTGGAGCAAGAAGAGTTAGGTTCGCGAAACTCGTCCGATGGCGCCTCTTCTCTATCCCAAGGTGGAATGTGACTGAAATAGGGGAGGTCTCTGTACGGGGCGTAATCGGTGGTTGCGTCTGCTTTCCTTCTCTTTTCAAACCACCTCCCACCTATAAGCTCTTCACTATCTGAACGCTTTTCACTCCTATTCAATCCCCGAAATCCCTTGGCCTTTAAGTGCTGATGATTCAGGTCGCAGAGTTCAGCAGACTGATAAATTAATTATTCGGAAGCGTTATTTGTAGGTTGCTGCCGATTATGGTGTTACGCCCATCGAAAACATGGTGTCCCATCAACTGCAGAGGGATCAGATCGATGGTGAGAAGCAGATCATACAAAATCCCGGAGAAAAACAGCGTATGGAGATGGAGAGATTCACAATTGAAAAGCATGAGCATACGCCATTGATATTCTCTTCTCAACTGGCAAAGGTTAGGCTTCACCACATTTTACTTCCATCTGTCTAAATATTGTGCTATTTTCTCCTAAATATTACGTTATTCTTTCTTCAGGTAAAGCTAAGGATATGGATACTCGTACTACCGTTTTCAAGAGAAATGATGATGTTCAGTACTCACTGAGGTTGAAAGCAGCGCGAGCCCTAATGAAGGAGTGCAAAGACAGGGTAAGTTTAGGTGCAGTGTATCGGTATGGCAGCGGGGAAATTGGTTCGCTATTCACTTTAAGGTTTTGGAGCACCAGAATTAGTTAGCGAATCATGTTTAATGCAATATTTCTGTAAAAGCTGAGATTAGTGCTCAGTCAACTGCGAAGAAGTGTATTTCTTTCGATCGAAAAACTTCTTAGCTCACCCTGAATCTGCTTTTCCAGTTTGGTTCAATGCCGTTCACACTCCGAGCGTTTGAGGATGAAGTGAAAGCAAAGATGGGCGTTGTTGAACCAGAAAAACATGGTCTCCTCCGTCCTTATCAGGTACTATTTAGTTACACTTGGTGTTGCTATTCTTTTGTTCCTTTTCTATTATGTTTTATTAAGGTAATAATAGCGCAGTATGGAAGTTTTTGTTCAACCTTGCTGATCTCTTTCCAAATGTTCTATTTTGTCTGAATGTATGGTGTGTTTTAGGTGGTTTACGAAAATTCTGGTGAGGTTGTAGCCCAGTTCAAAGCGACCGACGGTGTTGATAATGTCAAATGGCCTCTTGAAAATAGCCGGTCTCCCTTACGATGCGAGCATAATTGAAACTGATGCCAAGTTGAAGGTTAGGACTGTTTTTATTCTTGTCATCAATATGTGCTTGTTATTGTTCCCTTTTCACGGAAAACCTTGTCACACAAGGTCTTGTAAATTAAATTTATATTGCGCTGGGTTAGGAAGGATAGTCGGCTCCCAATTTAAGGCAGCCTCCTGCATAGAAGGAAGGATATATTTGGGCACAAAACCTGTTAGGTGGTAGGATTTTGCAAATAGTTCTTTTTACTTGATTTGCGGAAGGATCATCTTCAACGGTTTCATTGCATCTACTGTTGCTAAAGCTCCTTAGGGCTATTGTCATAGACAAAGTTTGTAACCCCGTTGCAATCGCTATAACATTAGAGAAGTAGATGTAAGCGATATGGTGATCATGTGGAAATGCAACGAGGTTACGAAAGTGACTTTGGTTATAGAACTGTCTTTCCCTGATTGCTTTCGATCTAGTCGTCGTGTACCTGTAGCGTGGTAGTTCTTTCTATTTCCCAAGAGTATTCGCAGTTGCAAAATTTAGATTGCTCTAGCTTGCGGAAATCAAAGATTCGTAATTTTCAAATTCTATGTTCTTATTACTGTTTCAGGACCCAGAGTTGATCGCAACGTTGAACTCGCAACTGAAAAAGAAAAAGAAGAAGCCCGCGAAGAAGGAAGCTCCCGCAGCGGTTAATGCAAACGCTCCTGTCGCTGAACCGGTGGCAGCGAAATAGGTTTATGTGTCTTAGTTGATATAGTGTTTAACAACGTCTCTTTTTTTGTCCGAGTTGTATGTTGATGTATAATGGTGAATTTATTGATATTTTTTTCGATTTACATCTTTTAGGTGATCCTTGTTGCATGCGGCGGTCCTCATTTTGCTATCTCCTTTTCTCTTCTCTTTTCGGATTTCCGGTCGATCATCTTAGAAAAGATGTACGACTACGCTTCACTGACAACGTTTATGTTTGATTCACTATGAATACTAGTGCCCTGTTCATTACCTACGTTCTGGTACCGTCACAAATAATTGTCACTGAAAAAGCGTCGGGATTGGCGTTGCTAACGATGTGGTAGAGGTACTGGTTTACCACGATGCCAATTGTGATCGCTGTCACCGCCTACACAATCTCACGATTCAAGCTTCGGCGCGATTCCCTCAATTCCTACGTTTTTTACTGCCTATTGGAAAATAGTGACGGTCCATATGTGCGTGGGTGAAGCACTGATGACCGGGTATGCTCACGTGGGGTTATCTTTTGCTGTGAATCGAATGCGGTTTTCGTTCTTACATTCCGGTGGTAACTTGCCGTTATTTCGATCATGGTCTTTATGCCAGTGAGTCCAAAGCCAACCCGTTTCACGACTCGCCGTGTTCACTTCGGTGTCTTTTGGCCCGGTCGTTGTTACACTGTACTCGTTTCCAGTCGTTCTGTTCCGTTTGAATAAAGTTCTAAGGATTTCATGTACATTGCTTGTTTTGTCAGAAGAAACTCATTTTGAAGATTGATTCAGAAGAGCGTTGAGGCATGGTGAAGCAATGAAGTGTGGATCTGCACCGCGAAACCATGGGCCGTATTGAATCCTTCCCTCAGGGGGATGCGTCCCCCTCCTCCGATTCAATCCTCCCGCCAGCGCGACCCTCAGGCAAGGAGTGCATCAACAGTGGGGGGTAGTGGTGCTCTGTACTGGCAGATGATGGAAAAGAGGTATGGCGTCCTATGACGCAACCCTTTTTGTCTCCCCCCAAAGCTGGGGAGGATTGAATCAGATGAGGGTGACGCATCCCCTGGGGGAAGGATTGAATACGGCCCATGTTCTACACAGAATCGCGAACGCGTTACAGTACGTGTCAGCTCCTACAAGATGTGCTGGAGCCAGCCGCCGTTGAAATCACTGTTTCTGCGAATCTGGATAACCTTTTTTCCCCGGGAGATTAATGGGCACTTTCCATGGCCAACAAGGATGCAATTATTCTGTTCGGAAATGAAAACGGAAGCGTGAACTTGACTCAGTGAAATTTGCAAAAATAAAAATGTGAAAATGAGAATATTGTTTCCATTGACGATAATGTTCTTTACGAGAGGGACCCTGTGCGCTAAGGCGAGGGAACTGCGAGAGAGCACAGAGGACGAGCGAGGTAGCAGACATCTTGTCGTGCAGGCCATTGGATGTTGAGCAGGAGGAATGGCGGTAGTGAAGAAGCCGTGGCACCAAGTTTGCTACTTGCCTTTATGCAGCGAGAATAACACATCATTCCATCTGCAGCGTATCCTAGTCACGAAAACCTGGTATCATAGTGAAATCTCCTTCAGTTTTGATTTTAAAAGATTTAGAAGTGTACCCGCGCCCATTCACCTCCTCACTGATATTATAGCATAGTTTAGGATTTCTTTCGGGCGTTCGAAATCTCGTCGGTGGTCCCAGTTCTCCTTGAATGTGCAGAAAAACAGCTGTGTTTTTCGGCTCTGGCGGAGAGCTGGTGATATCGCAGCTAGCGACTGCCAAGCAGAGTCAACCGTCCGTTTGATCTATCCAGACGGGAGGTGTTGTATTTGCGGTATCGGGACGGGGTGGCATTCGGGGTTGAGCAAAGGTAACCATTTTCAGGGGAATTGAGAAAGAGGGAGGGGCGTAGTGCGTAACGGCGGGAGTCGTTTTTGGCAATTCCGACGAGTACTCTACGAAAGAAGTGGAGTAGATAAAATAGAATGCATAGCTGTCAATTGCATAGTTTCTGTCTATATCGCAGCCTCTCCTGCACCTTTATTGGGTATTGTGCGGACGAATACAGTCGGCTGTCTATGGCCGATGTCAGACTTTGCGAATCGCGCGATTCGCAAAGTCTGACATCGGCCTATAAAGCTTGAGCCGAGTATAAGCTGGACTCAGGCTCAAGGACTATGCTTCACGGCGAAGGTGCCTGTCTCTCAGATGAGTAGCCGGCAATAATGATATGCAAAAATATTGCGAATTCAAGAACTTCATAGAAATCAATGCGGGAAGCATAAACTGGAAATATTGAGTTGTTTGAAAGGTTCCCACCT